AGGTTCAGCCTTTGAGAAGGTTCCTTAGGAGTGCTCATTCCATCCTGATTCGGTCCAACAATGATCTTCTTCTTCTTTCCTAGCCCACTCGCTGGAGGTGTCGGTTTATCGAGGTTAGCCAGAGCCATCCGTTTAGATCCGCTGGCTTGGTCTGAGTTCACATGCGACATATCCGGATACTTTTTCGGTGGCGGTGGTAGGGGTCTTGATGTGGCTTCGACCACTTCTTTAGGTGAGCTGCTACCTTTAGCGGTCGTAACTTTAGCGGTATCCTGAGTTCCTTCAGCCTTTGGTCGTGCATCTTCTCCGGATCCCTTGCTTCCCCTGAAAATAATAGTGTAGTTCCGCATAATTTGAAGGCAGTGGACCCACAAAGTGGGACTTTTACTTAAAGGCAAAAGTCGGGCTCAATAAGGGGTATTATGGCGATTGAAACTGAGTATAGAGATGCGAAGTGGAACGACAGTGGAGAAAAAACTGAAAAAAACCGTCGACAAGGCCGAAACGAAACCCCTTTCCTTCTAGCAGTGAAGGAGGCTGGCTTGGGGGAGAGGCACGTCCAAACGAGTTTTCCGGATATGCCAGCCGTTGCTGGCTCTGTGCCGTCGGTTGATACGGCAATCAACCCAGCTGATTTCACAGGTTAGGTGTGCCATACTAGGCGATTGTGCAGTCGCGAAAGCGACGCAACAGCACTGTGATGATTGTAAAATGGATCCGCGGCAACGCAGTCGCGATTGTCCGTCGCGGTTGCACAGTAGCAGAGTCTGATATGCACCATAAGGACTCACTAAACCGCTAACTTGGTGTGTCGGTTTGTATGTATGTCGGTATGTATGTATGTATGTATGTATGTCGGTCTGTCCGTCCGCAAAATGAAGTGAGTGATAAGGAGGAATGGAATAAACAAACCGCTAACAAATCGGGTAGCTTACAGGATTTGAGATATCAATGTTTTGTAGCAGGATAGTTGTGATAACACTCTTAGGGCTATATAAACACCTGCTTAGCACACTTCCGTTCATTCCACATGGTGCTGCAGTGGCAGCTGGAGGGCAGTGGAGAGAGGAGGAGGGGAGGAAGGGAAGCGAAAAATCTACCGTCATATCATGATTGTGTCCCTTCTACTGTATGAAACTCCATTGTTGCATATGCGTTACCTGAACGACGTGTTGATGTCACAGATGGAAGGAACCACAGCGGAAGATATCAAGCAGGTCCCGGCGGTTGACGGGGAACCAATCTGGTATGTTGAAAATGATTGGCAGCTCCAATCGTTCATTCCAGATGTCACTACCTCAAGTATTCCCTTATTCTCATTATTGCTTACAATATCAACAAGTGCGGTCGGGCTCTCTCGATATCCAGGGTTATCGCAATAGCGATACGAATCAATGCTACCGCTGGATGGAATAGGTTTCGACGTAGAGCCTTTTCGTCCATTACTGCTCTTTTCCCAAAATCCTATCCTAGTTATGAGGTCGTGCACAACCGCCGAACAGCGGACTGACAGACAATTCTAGCGCATCGTTTTTCACCCATTATTTCCCCTCCACCCGTCTGGCACAATTTCCTTTTCCAATACATTTACAGGGAGAGGGAAGAACTCTGTTCTTTGCTCATCACGCAAAACGGACAGGGTGTCGCTAAAATGCTTCTATTCTATACCTTCATTATCAGAAGCAGGCCTTTGTTCAATACCACCACCATCTTCAGAATATGAAGTCATCCGTCGCCTGGGCAAACTCAACGAGGCTTATCGCAATGGCAAAGCCATCCAATTGTAAAGCCAGTCAATCGATTCAAGGCTGACCAATTTCTTAGAATCGCAGCACAGTAAGCAAGACGTCTGCCTACCATCGCTTCAGACATTGGCAATGGTCCACGATCCATTGAAGAACGTCGTTGAGCTCGAGTCCTGCACCATGGTCCCGTGGGAGAGCATCCTAGGGTCGCTTACGTAGGAGCATAGGGTCGCCCACGTGGAAGGATATTACAGGTATTTTTTGAACATTTCCTAAAGTGCTCTTCAATTTTCACTTGGAAGCATTGAGTATGGCTTCAGCAAGCTGGGGTTGTCACTTATAGATGGGAGGTAGGGAAGTTTTCTTTGTCTCCCTCCCCCCTGCCCCGTACAGTGCCTTTTCTGAGGCATCCTCACTCGGGCGCAAGTAAAATTAAGAGAGTCTCTTCACAACTTCTTACCTGGGGAGTATTTCTGACGGGGCAGAGTTTTTTCGTCCGTATTTCTAAGTCAATTGACAGGGAAGCTCAGTATTACGAGTCTCGTTTCTTCTTAGGACCGCCACCACAGCACGTAAGGGTGAAAATGAATATGGGTTGTTTATTGCGCATTAAATCTATTTTCGTGCATACGCGCATGTGAGGCATTTTTAACCATTAGAGTAGCTTTGCGGTTTGGATTACGGTAGGCTATGGTCACGGTCGCACGCTGCCGTAGAACGGATCTAGTGTACCATCGTTGTAAAGGAGCGAGAGAGTGAGATGGGTCACACTAACTTGCTTCCGCGACGCTCCTTCTCTTTTGACGCCAAATCTGGAGGTAGCTCAATTCGGTTCAGTTCCGGTGGTGGACTGTCGTTGTGAAGATTCTGAAACCTCGCTAATGTTTCCACGAGAAGGTGCAACAATGAAAGAAAGAAAGCCGTACCGATCCTGAGATGTAACATTTGCATGTTGTGGGACAGCGCGGCACCAGGGGGCCTGCACCACGCTGAACACGAGATCCAATGAAGCAGTCATCTGGATTGTGCCATCAAAGCCAACTCACTCTTCTGGAGCTGGTGTCTGTGGTGGTTTGGGAAGTGCCAGATTGTTGAGAACCAGAGTCCGTCGTGGGTAACGAACGTGAATCTGTGCCAACTAGATTGTCTCCTGCTGTATACTGTAAAAGATTATTCATTCATGTGTTTCTGAGCTCAGTGCGACCCCAAAGGCACTAACCCATTTGGGAAGTGAACTGCATGTTGGCCATGTTATCGTAGTCACTGGAACTCGTTTTCCAGATTGAACCATCCAATTGTGTTCTGGAACAAAGCTCCCCTCAACCACACCTCATTTGGGCCATTTTTGTTGAACATGGAGCATAGTAAAGCTTTGAAAACGGCAGGCGTTCTCTGCCACGAACTGCAGCCTTGGCCGCTCATTTCCTTGGGGTGAGGAGGGTGTGGGGAGCGCATTCGAAGCAGGGCCGGTGGTAAGTGACAGACTAAGCCCAGAGAGGGAGAAACGCCAGAGAGAACAGAAACTGCTCACAACCCCTCAGAGCTTGCTGCCCTTCTTCAGGCTTAGCCCCAAGTGGCTCGTTCTCTTAAATGTCCCCCATCTCCCTGCCCCGCCCCTCCCAACGACATGAGCGCCCAGTCTTGTGTGAACCCCATTTCTTAGGGTACCTAAGTGAACCTATTTCTATGAGAGCTGCAGCTGAAGAGCGCAAAAGAACCTACCCTTGATCACTGCTCTGACTGCATCAGTGCAGATCCTTTGGCAGGTTTCCAGTGGCCTCGAAGTGGACGAACGACAACCCCAACGCGAACCTCCGCGTCTTCATCGCAGTACGTGCCGCTCATGAGAAAAACACTATTAACAGTGAGGTAAACCTACTCTGAGGTACTTTTTATAGGGAACTTTGAGAAATTGTTTATTCGAATAAACCCCGAGTATTGGTGGAATGTAAACAGCAATGAAAGTGTCGGTAGCTTCACCATCGGGCATCGACTAAATCGAGGTGGATAGCGGATCTTCGCTGATTGGATGAAGGATTCTTTCAACACTGAGGACATAGCTGCCCGTGAATCCTTCTTCTGGCTTACCAGCGATTTTCGACGTTTTTTTTAACTGCGTCTCTTTGCGAAAGGGTATGCTTCTGGGAGCTTACAACTAGTTAAATTAGGTTCCATGTGCATTCGTCAATCTTTGAAATGGTACTGTGATGTTGTGTTTGCCGGAATCTACACAATAGAGTTCCGATCCGGTAGGGGCTGGGGGCGAGGGAGAGGGCGCATCGACTGCAGTTGTCCAAAGTTTTGTAGAGGAAATCTCATGAACCGTTTTATATTTATTACATGAGAAAAATCTCATGCAAGGGCTTCAGTGTAGCCCACAAAGGAACAAACATAAAAAAACCTGCATAAGCGGCGACAAGGCCAAGATACTAGTTGTAAAAAGGTCATAATCATGACTGTGAATTTTAGAGAAAGAAAATATCAAAGCACGATTATGCCCACAACATGCAGAGATGAGAGAAACACATACGGCTGGTAGAGAGTCAGGGTGAGGGGCCATCAAGGATCGAGGTATTTATCAACGGAGGATAGATGACAGGAGTAGCAACTTTTTTGCTCTTTGTTGGTTAAAAGGCAGGTGGGAAAAGTGAATAGTGACAACTCGAGGTTTAGCAGAGGACTGCGAAGTTTTTTCCGTCCAGGTTGGTATAGGCGTATAACAGCGCAAACTCCTTGTATATACGACCAGTAAGACCGTGAGGGGTTTTGTAAAAATCATTATACCACGTTTCTCGCTCTCCGCTGAAGTGTTTGGACGTCGAGTAAAGTTCTTCTGGTTGCTAATGGGGATGATTCCATAGCAAAATCCGACCGCCCTGATCATGAGATTCTGATGGAATTGTTCTGTACCTTTTGAATCAAGTCAGTGTATTTGTGTTTGTATAGATTGAATACCACTGTTCCATATTCAAGCAGTGGCCTCACAAAGGTTTTGAAGCATGAAGAAGACCCGCCACTTTCAACACGGTTGATAGTGTACATAGTTTGCCTAGATGCTCGGTGTTCGCGCGCCTGGCGCGCGTAAGCCAACAGCCTTTTGGCGCTTCGGCTGGGACCGTATGCTGAATGTTGGGGAGGGGATGGAGTCCCCGACGGTGGACGGACCACACCGGTTCTTAGAACCGCCACAATTTGGTGCCTACCTCAGAACTAAGCCTTAAAGAGAGGACGGGTCCGTCCCCTCTCCAAGGCTTAGTCCTGGGGTGAGCAAACCAGCCCTTCTGGCGGAGCTGCTGGACCAGCTGCACCACTTGCGTCAGTACTCTCCTATCGTACCAACCGAGTTGAAGTAAACCGTCGACCGTTGGGGACCCCATTCCCTCCCCAACATTCAGGGATATCCAGTCCAGCGAGACGCCAAGGGGTGGTTTGGCTTACCTACCTACACCTATACCTCTTTACCAGTGTGTATAGCCCATAATCTTAACATCGAAGTAAGCCGACGGGCGGCAACGGTATGACCTTACCCTATATACACCTGCATTAAATATCACGGTACGGTCTCGACGATCAGTCATTCTTCTGCTCTGCTGATTTATTAGTGTTGGCTTTGCAGGGTTTACAGCGGACACACAAAACACATGATATGTGCAATTATGTTACCCAAATACTACAGATAGATATATGTATGTACATCGACCGGCCACTACTATATTCGTGGAAGTCGTTAATGCAAATGCGGCATAGGAACATCGTGAAAAAGCGGATACTATTTTGGTAAGGACAAAGCTTTTTCAGAAAACTTAACACGCAGGACATTGATATCACCATTAATGGTATAGCGTGTCAAAGCGATTCAAGTAATGATCGGGTGGAAAAGTATTTTCTGCGCCTCACATACAATTTTTGGATCCTGAACAATTCACTTAAAGGCAAGTCGGGATTGAATTGATGCGTTATTTTGTTCAAACATTAGGCAAGGGGTGCAATGAGGAACATTAGTGAGGAGAAAAAGCAAAAAGCACCATAGAAAACACTAAATTTCCCTTAGGAGGCCGGCCGTAGTACGACGGAGAGACACAGCGCTGCGAGGAGAGGGAGAACGCGAGATAGTACGTCGTACGCGAGAGGACGCAGAGACCACGTATGCCGTGGTGGATTACGCTGGCAGCGCGGCGGGCAAGGCCTTAGCGCCATTGCCGCGCACTTTTGGGTCGCGATAGTGTCGCGCCCTCAGTGCTTGGGGAGCCCACTATCGCACCCTGGGAAGAACTTCTGCTGGTTGCCTAATCCTGACTCGTGGCTTTAATTGACACGACATGAGTCGAAAGTTTTCCTTGAAAAAGAAAACGATAATTAACAAATTAGAGGACAATAGGCGACGTTCACATAACAACAACATGTGCTATTTTTCGTGGGTATGCGCTGGTGCTTAAACGTGATTGAGATATTTTATTTTGGAGTGCAAATGTACTTCTCATCCACACACGATAGGGGCTGATAAAATATAACGATGTAAGAGGAGTTAGCATCGGAACACAGCCTAATAAAATGAAGGCAGCATACTCGAGGAACGGATGATGGTAGATGTTCAATTGTTCCGTTGCGTACGTAATTACTGCAAATAGGAAGAAAACGGGTACGCAGGCCTGTACCATGAGTGCCTAAAAGAGAATTCTTCCGTAAAAATTGCTCAGGAGCCAATCTTGAGAAGTCAAACAGCATAATATTGACCTGAAAGAATGGGGGTGCCTACAGTGATGCGCAAAAGTCGGGTTAGGTACTGTCTAACCTCCTGCTTAATTCTTGTATGTTTGTCCGTTTCTTTCAAAATAGAGTCGCATGAACGTGATTATTAGTAGAATGTGGTGCCGCTCTTACTTTCAAAGAAAGGCCCTCAAATCATCATGGCCACTCAGGATGTGATGTATTGGAATTAAAATTTAAAAAGCGGCAGCTGTGGTCCGAACTCCAAGACAAGAGGTCGTGGTGTAGTCTTTCGGAAGTTTACGCCTTTACATTTATCGTGAATAATCCAAAATGATTTTTATTCCTCCTGTCGTCAATGGTTGTCTACAGCTGTCCGAAATTTGTAATTGTACATTAAATTCACAAGTCAGGGCAGCTGTTGCCCATTGGTGCTCATATTAATGCGCAAATGCTGCACAGACCTTATCGTACACATGTATCTCCGTTTGGAGGGCTGGGTAGCAGATTTGAAAAGGATTTGAAATCAGCACTTAAAGTGCATTCAAACGTACACACCTCAACTTGAATAGCCATGGCAGCTTGAAAGGTTTTCCTTTTCACTACTGTCGTCGCCGTGTCATCTTTCTGCATGAGCAGTGTGCTGTCGAGGGACAGGTTTGGATTACTTATCAGCAGCGCCGGGAATCACTACTGGGACTCAGAATGGAGTAAGGTGTGAATTTCCTGCAAAAGTCAGCCCTGAGTGGAGCGATTCACTGGGGCGCTGTGCATTCGAAGAGCTTTCTCTTACTCCATTTTCTTTTTGATCTTGTATGTAGCTTTGCGTTTGGAAGATTGTTCCGTAGTCATAGAAAAATGGGATCAGAAAGAGGTGAAAGAAGAAGCTAGAGCTCAATCAGAGGAACCCACATGCAGGATAATAGGCTACGTTTATAAGTAATGATGTTGACAAACATTCCAATAATTCTGAACAGTTTTGGAGCATTCTAAGGCAGTGGCCAAAACTCCACATTAGAATTTACTGAAAGTATGCATTTCTGATGTGCAGGATATACAGTTTCCGCCGAGAACTAGTCCTTTATGAGATACAGGGTGGTCATCATCTGAAGCTGGTAGTGAAAAGGTGGCGCTATGGATGGACGCGATAAACCATGTCAAGAGCGTTAAGCCTTCCGATGGTCGCAATGTTTTATCACGTCTTGAAACCTCCCAAGCTACCTAATAATTAATGCGAATGTCACACCCTTTCGGCCTCTAATCTCTTGTCAGTATTGAAATATGCTCTCGAGGTAAAAGTGGGCTCAGTAGATTCAGCGCAAGTGCAACGTCAAGAGTTATTTGTTTGGGTCATCCCTATGGAACTTAATTTTCAATGAAGAAAGTTTTCGTGGCAGAATCTTTACAGAAATGCAAGCGAAATTACCTTGAGTAGTTGCGATTGAAGATCGCGAGCTTTTTTGGAAAATGGTACTTTCGTTGGTCAGTTTCCTTGCTGTCAGTCCTCTGAGTACGAGGATGGTTGTGTAGACAGGTGCGATTG